ATTTCTAGCAACGTTGTACTCAGCTCAGTTGGTCCACGGTATCAACTCCATATTTTGTGGTGTTGTGAAATGTGATTATCTCTGGTTTGATGTCCTCGTCAGAGTTTGGATCGATAGAGTCGTCACGGTGTAGAGTGTACAACAAAATCACATTTTTATTTCGGGTCGGAATGTAGGATATGATGGTTTTATCTTCTGTAAAACCAAACATTCTGGTTTTTGGTGGTCTTTCGATAAAAAAATCAAGTAGAATTTGCTTTTCGTCCTCACGTAGTGTCCCGACTATTGTTGAGTCATAATTCTTCAGTAAATCATCGGCAGCTGGAACAGACGTGAACCAATTGTCCATTGTAATATTTCTCCTAGACTTTGAAAGGGGGAAACACAATATATTCACAACATCAGTGATGGCATTGCTATCTGCAAATGGACCTGTTGGTTGTGTGCTGCAGTATATTTCCATATTGTATGTATAAAATGTGCGCGAATCGACTAAAGAAAAAACTTTCAATCCATATATTGCCGGTTTGTTCGGGATATACATCCCAAATGCCCAAAACATCTCATCAAGTGTAGCATATCTACCCACGGTGTAGTGCTTCTGACATTTTCCGTTTATATTTTGAAATAATTCTCTAACTGGTGCTAGATTATTCTCTGTTTTGCGAATTTCTCTCGTTCGGGTATTATCCATTCGCAAACACCTCATTAAAAAACGAAACCTTTTCCGTCAGTGAACCAAAATTCAAAAATAGATGTTCTGCTAGAACGATATATACCAGCGAGGTAAAGTAAGCCAAGCAGAGCTTTAATTTTCAATAGACTTGATGGTCTTACAACAGATTATTTTGAATATCGATCCTGAATACTCTCTACATATATATTTGTATTTAGCACAATTTAATTCAGCGTAACATCATCAAAAAAAAGTTGCCAACACTCTATTGCAGATGACTCACCTTTTGCAGTACCTATAACCCCAGGTAATTTGACAGTTAGATTATTCTGCCGGGTTCGAACATTTTTGGGAAAACAATGTTTATTCCACTTTGTCCCATCTTTTGAATTCAAATATAAATGACTTCGAATTCCAGCATTTGGACGAATATATAATTCTGGCATTACTGCATCTCAAACTCACTATCAGATATGTGGTCAGCGTCAGCTACGGAATCGTCGGAGTCTGAAAAAGCTTCGTCAGTTTCAACTTCTTCGAACAGTTTTCGCAACCTCTCTTCCTCCCGTGTGTAAGAAACCATTATACTGAAAAAAATAATTATCTATATCACCAATATTATTGCTATTTCCAAATCTCCCTTTGGTACACAAAATAATAATACTTACGTAAAAGTGCGCGTTGGGTCCAGTAGACCGAAATCAGCCCTAGAATCGATGCTTCTCACTTCTCAGCGTTAAAACTACTGATCAGCATATATTGTAATCTAACTTGAAGGTACTGACGCGCACAAACTCTGACGAAAGCACCAACACTATTAAGATTCACGTGGGCCGGACAGACCCGACGCGTCGACTCCAGGGTTAACAATGTGATGCTTATGCTACAAGGTATCCAGAAAAACCTAAACCATCTCCAGATATCATTAGAAGATTAATCTTCAATCTTACGAACTTTGGATCATTCGGAAGGAAAATTATCAAAACTAAAACGGTGGTTGACAATGAAGATAATGCGATTACAGTGCTTGGGTACTTCACTGCTTTTCTAGAAGTATCTTTGAAAGATGCGGCACGAGATTTGGGATTGAATAAAATGTCCATGCAGAGAATATTAGCAAAACATAAATGTCATCCGTATTCTCATACTTTAGTCCATGGCCTAAAGGTATCCGATTATGAGAGAAGAATTAACTTTGCGGAGTTTTTCATTATGAAAAATCAAGAAAACGAACAATTTTTGAGAAATTTAGCGACGAAGCGAAATTTACTAAAAATTCAACAAGCGGAATTCTCACTACTGGAGCGATACAAACCCGCATTCAGTTCGGGAACGTCAATTTCAAGATCGTTGGAATTTCAATGTTTACTGCGCTTTTGAAGACGACGCAATAGTGATGCTTCACTTCTATGACGAAAATTCTATTGGTTCGTTGAAAAGTATTGGAATTGTATTGTTTCATTGTTTCAAAAAGAACTGAAATACATTACTCAAGAAAATGGCATCAAAGTAGCTATATAATAAACATTCAAAGCATCTAGAAAATACATAACAGACCAGAAGGTATTTTTATTTTCAGGTGAACGATACCTAGATATTTTAAAAAATCTCGATACGGATCATTTGGAAAAACTGACCCTCGCTGACCATCGAAAAATTTGGTATCAACATGATGGAGCACCTTCACATAATCATCAGATGGTGAAGATGTATTTGGAAGAAACTTATTACGACCAGTGGTTTGGAACCGACTGTTCTAAATTATGGCCACCGCGATCGCCCGATTTTACTCCAATGGATTTTTGTATTTGGGGTTATATAAAAAACGAGGTGTATTCTAACACGCCAACAACAACAAGATTTTCAGCAGAGAGTTCGTACTGCTTTCAACTGTATTCCACCGGACATAATAAGACGAGCTGTAGGAGACGTCATACGGAGAAATGTGAAATGCTTAGAAGTTGGAGGCAATGTATTTGAACATTTGTTGCAATAAAAAAAGCGGTTGACAAATGTGTCACATGTTCTTGTTTAGCATTGAAACTAAATTTGAAATTATTGTTTATTCTAATCATGATTTTTGTCTTGAATATGGGATTATTTTTCATGAGGCATTCAATGTAAACTAGGCAACAAAGAAATTTTATCAGACAAAATTGGAGGGTAAAAACGTAAATCCTCGCGTGATAATAACTTCTATTGCGGAATATCACCAAAATTATAAGTTTTGGGTATAGGAAAGTGCTTAACTAGGGCTTATTTCCATAAAAGAATCGAACCTTGAGGAAAAAAATGGGAGTCCCCATTTGAAAAAGTTGAAATTTTTAATTTTTCTCATTCACTTATTGGACCCCAATTTTTGCGCACCCTGTGGAATATTCAGTGGACCTGAAAATGATGCGTGATCCGTTCAACCTTCGAATATCACGATTCACTAGCTGCATATTTTTAAAAATGGTAATATACATGAAAATGACGTTGGTATGTTCGAGAGGCTGCATCTGTCACTTTTTCTAAAAAACTCGAATAACTCGAAAACGGTTCATTTTGGGAAAAGAGTATGATTCATGAGTTAGAATCGAAATCATGGAAAGAATCAAAAAATGAGGTGAAATACAGGGTGTGCCATTAAAAATAACAAAGATGACGTCACTTCCGGTGGAACCCGAAACGTCACCTCAACGAAAATATTTCAGTTGAATCAATAATAATAATTATGATAGGTTTTTATTCCCAGAATGATACAATAAATGAATGTGAACATTTACTGAAACGGAAAAGGCTGAAGATCAGTTGGTTGCATCAAGGGAAGCAACCTCT